CTCAAAGCCAATATCATCCTCATCCGTACTACTGTCATCGTCACCACTGTCATCATCGTGTTAGTTACTCATCCTTCCCATCGCCATCGCCGTCGTTGTCCGCCGAAACGTCGTCGCCAACATCACTACGGTCATCAGCATCCTCAGCATCATCATCATCATCATCATCATCAGCATCATCATCATCATCATCATCATCATCATCATCATCATCATCATCGTCATCATCAGCAGCATCATCAGCAGCATCTTCAACATCATCGTCAGCATCATCATCATCGTCAGCATCATCATCATCAGCAGCATCAGCATCAGCATTATCATCATCACCACCACCACAACCATCATCGACATCAGCAGTATTTTCATCATCAGCGTGGCCATGTCGGTGGTAATCGTCATCATCATCCTCATCATCGTCATCATCAACAACAACTACAACTACAGCCGTAGCATTAACATCACCATTACCATCATCATCAGCACCATCGCCAGTATCACCAGCACCGTCATCATCACCAGCATCATCAGCATCAGCATCAGCATCATCATCATTGTCAGCATCATCGTCATCATCGTCGTCATCATCATCCTAATCATCGTCGCCATCAGCATTACCACCACCACCACCATCGTCATCGCCATCGTCGTCATAAACATCGTCATCATCGTTATCGGCCTCGTTGCCATCGTCATCAGCACTATAACCAATATGCCTAAATTTAACATGACTATGACCCGCCCTCTCTAAGCATCCCTCCCATACTTCCTCGATGCCACAAAGCGTTCGCACCCTTCCCTTCTGTGCTACCGCTCTCTCTAGGCCGATGACTCCCTCACCACACCCATGTTCCCTCTCCTCCCCCATCAATACATGTGATACATGTGTCTATATATCTCTCAATCTCTCTCCCTCTATGTCTCTCTCTCTCTCTCTCTCTCCCCCATCTCGCCAGACACACCTACACTTAAATATGCGTTGTTCCCACTTCTGTCCACCATGCTTCCTCTATACATCTATACATACACCCCGTCCCCTATCACATGTATGTATGCATGCATGCATGTATGTATGTACGTACGCATGTGTAAATGTGTGTATGTGGGTGTATCCTCGCCAGGCCTGTGCAATCTCAATACATCTCCTCGTCAGTCTGCCTCAAGGCACCCCAATCCCTCGCATATTCTCTCCCTGTCCTATGCCCTGCGAAAGCACGCGGAAGCCAACATGTTATGGCAGGTAGGGCTACGGCCCACAAGATACCCAGGGAAATAAGCGGTTCTAAGGAAGCTCAAAGTCCCTTCTCTGCCTCGTGCTGGATTCGCTCCTCCCCGACATCATCCCCATACCCTGCCCCATCGCTGTGATCGGAGGTGAGGGGGTGAGATCGAAGTGGAACGGAGAGCCCCCCTACCGGGAAATCGATTTCGATTTCGTGTTCGTGCGTGCCGTGCGTGCGGGCGAGGCGAAGCTGCGTGGGCGGGCGAGAGGAAAGTCTCCTGTGGCTGAGGCGCGGCCGGACCAAATGATTCTCCACCGGGCGGCTGGTGGCGCGCGGTGTCCCGTCCCGGTGGTGTCCTCTGTGGCTGAGGCGCGGCCGGACCAAATGATTCTGCACCTGGCGGCCGGTGGCGCGCGGTGTCCCGCCGGTGTCCCGCTGGTGTCCCGTCGGTGTCCCGTCGGTGTCCCGATGATGATGATGATGATGATGATGATGATGATGATGATGATGATAATGATAATGATGATGATGATGATGATGATGATGATGATGATGATGACGATGATGGTGCTGATGATGATGATGGTGATGATGATATCGATAGTGAGACCGAATGTGATATCGATAGTGAGACCGAATGTGAGATCGATTGTGAGATCGAGTGTGATATCGATAGTGACATCGATAGTGAGACCGAAAGTGAGATTGATTGTGAGATCGATTGTGAGATCGATAGTGAGATCGATTGTGAGATCGGTTGTGATATCGATAATGAGATCGATAGTGAGACCGAATGTGAGATCGATAGTGAGATCGATAGTGAGATCGATAGTGAGATCGATAGTGAGACCGAATGTGAGATCGATGGTGAGATCGATAGTGATATCGATAGTGAGATTGATAGTGAGACCGAATGTGAGATCGATAGTGAAATCGATAGTGAGACCGATTGTGAGATCGATTGTGAGATCGATTGTGGTATCGAGAATGAGATCGATAGTGAGACCGAATGTGAGATCGATTGTGAGATCGATAGTGAAATCGATAGTGAGATCGATAGTGAGATCGATAGTGAGACCGAATGTGAGATCGATTGTGAGATCGATAGTGATATCGATAGTGAGATCGATAGTGAGACCGAATGTGAGATCTATAGTGAAATCGATAGTGAGACCGAATGGGAGATCCATAGTGAGATCGATAGTGAGACCGAATCTGAGATCGATAGTGAGATCGATAGTGATATCGAGAGTGAGATCGATCGAGTGCGACGTTGGTCCCTCCCCCCCCCCCCTCACCTTCTTATCACCCGAAGGTTGGTCGTACAGGTACATATATGTGTCCCCCTTCCTTCCCCGATCATCATCGCAACCACCACCACCCACCACCGCCACCACCACCTCCACCATCGGCATCACCATCATCATCATCATCATCATCATCATCATCAACATCATCAGCCGCAGCATCAGCATCATCAGCATCATCATCACCATCATCAGAATCAGCATCATCATCATCACCATCATCATCAGCAGCAGCAGCAGGCAGTAGCAGCAGGGTCGTCGTCGTCGCCGCCGCCGCCGCCGTCATCATCGCCATCTGACATCGCCATCAGCATCTCCCATCATCAGTAGCATCATCATCATCATCAGCAGCGGCATCAGCATCATCATCATCAGCATCAGTATCAGTATCAGAGTCATCATCATCATCAATCGCATCTGCATCAGCCTCAGCCTCATAATGATATCAGTCAGCGTTTGCTCCAAATAGATAGGAAGACAGGAGGAGGACGAGAGGAGGATGGGAGGAGGACGAAAGGAGGACGGGAGCAGGACGGGGGTAGGATGGGAGGAGCAACATCAAGCAAGCGCAAGCAAGCAAGCGGAAGCAAGCAAGCGCAAGTGAGCAATAACAAGCAAGCAAGAGCCAGCGATCAAGCGCAAGCAATTAAGTGCAAGCAAGAGCAAGCAAGCGAGAGCAAGCACACAAGAGCAAGCAAGCAAGTGCCATTGGAAGACAGAGGGGGTATTGAAAAAAGGGGGGCATTGGGAAAAGGGGGGGTCCTAAAGACAAATTACTTATGATGAGCTAGGACTCCTATATGGCAGACCGATTTGAAGAATTGCAAACATCGTCATCATCATCATCTTCAGCGGTACCTGTATTATCATCACTACCATCCTCAGTAGCATCATCATCATCATCATCAGCAGCAGCAGCATCGTCATCATCATCAGTATCAGTATCAGTATCATAGTCACCATCATCATCAACAGCATCTGCATCAGCATCAGCCTCATAATGATACCTATACGACCACCCTTCGGGTGATAAGGAGGTTCGGGGGGGGGGAGGAACCAACGTCTCATTCGACCGGTCTCACTATCGATCTCACTATCGATCTCAGTATCGGTCTCGCTCGATCGATCTCCCTCGATCGATCTCACCATCGATCCCACTCGATCAATCTCACAATTGATATGACTATCGATCTCACAATCGACCTCACAATCGATCTCACAATCGATATCACATTCGTTCTCACTATCGATCTCACTATCGATATCACAACCGCTATCACAATCAACGTCATCATCATCAACAACAACATCAACATCATCATCACCAACATCATCATACTCGGGACACCGTCCTCATCATCAACACCAACATCATCATCATCACGGTCATCAACATCATCGAGACACCACCATCATCATCATCATCATCATCATCATCATCATCATCACCGTCATCACAATCATCATCATCATCATCATCATCATCAACATCATCATCATCAGCAGCATCGGGACACAGTCATCGTCATCATCATCACCAGCAGCATCATCATCGGGACACCATCATGATCACCATCGTTATCATCATCATCATCATCATCATCATCATCATCATCATCATCATCATCATCATCATCATCATCGGGACACCATCATCATCATCTCATCCTCATCATCGACATCATCATCATCATCAGCATCATCACCATCATCATCAGCATCATCATCATCGTCATCATCGGGGCACCATCATCATCATTACCAACATCAGCATCAACATCATCATCATCATCATCAACATCCGGACGCCATCATCATCAACATCATTATCATCACCATCAGAATAATCATCATCATCGGGACGCCATAATCATCATCAACCTCATCATCATCAACATCATCATCATCGGGACACAATCATAATCAGCATCATCAACATCAACATCATCATACTCATCATCATCGGGACACCATCATCATCATCATCATCATCATCATCATCATCATCAACATAATCATCATGATCATCATCCTCATCATCGGGGCACCATCAGCCTCATCATCATCATCGTCATCATCATCATCGGCATCATCATCATCATCATCAACATCATCATCATCGGGACACCATCATCATCATATCATCATCATCATCATCGTCCTCATCATCATCATCATCATCATCATTAGCATAACCATCATCATCGTCATCATCATCAGCATCATCATCATCATCATCATCATCATCATCATCATCATCGCGGGACACCGCGGGATACCGGCGGGACACCGCGGGGCACCGCGGGACACCGCGGGACACCGCGGGACACCGGCGGGAACACCGCGCCACCGGCCGCCGGGGGGAGAATCATTTGGTCCGGCCGCGCCTCAGCCACAGGAGACTTTCCTCTCGCCCGCCCACGCAGCTTCGCCTCGCCCGCGCGCACGGCACGCACGAACACGAAACCGAAATCGATTTCCCGGTAGGGGGGCTCTCCGTTCCACTTCGATCTCACCCCCTCACCTCCGATCAGCCAGCTTTGGCTCCAAATAGATAGGAGGACAGGAGGAGGACGAAAGGAAAACAGGAGCAGGACGGGAATAGGACGGGAGGAGCACCATCAAGCAAGCGCAAGCAAGCAAGCGGAAGCAAGCAAGCGCAAGCGAGCAATAACAAGCAAGCAAGAGCTAGCGATCAAGTGCAAGCAAGCAAGGGCAAGCAAAAGCAAGCAAGCGAGAGCAAGCACGCAAGAGCAAGCAAGCAAATGCCATTAGAAAAGGGGGGGGCATTGGACAAAGGGGGGGCATTGGAAAAGGGAGGGTCCTAAAGACCAATTACTTATGATGAGCTAGGGCTACTAGGGCAAGCCTATTTGGGGATACACATCTTCATCATTATCATCATCACCATCATCGTCATCACCATCATCGTCAGCATAATCATCATCATCATCATCATCATCATCATCATCATCATCATCATCGTCATCATCATCATCATCGTCATCATCATCATCGTCATCGTCATCGTCACCATCACCATCGTAATCATCATCACCACCATCATCATCATAGTCATCATCTTCATGAGCATCGTCACCATCATCAGCATCATCATCCGATTCCTCGCATCCGCCTCCTCATCCCCATCATCAACATGGTCATCGTCATCAGCATCATCAGCATCATCAGTATCAGCATCATCATCTTCATCCTCATCATCATCATCGTCAACATCTGATTCATCGCCATCATCCTTCTCTCCGCGCTGACAGAGCCACGCGTGCACATCCACGGCCTTGGCTTGGACGCTGCTTGAATCAAGTGGGCGAAGGCCAAAAGATCCGTCAAGTTGGACCACAACGCTTGGAGAAAATATTGTACGCGCTCTCCGCGCGCAACCTCAATTCCTCCTCATCATCTGTCTCTTCCGTGTCCTCATGCTCTCTTCATCCTTCTCTTCCCGCTCCTTGGCGTTATCTTAACTGTTTCATGTCTCCTCCATTTCCTTCCCCAGCTCCTGCTCATCCTCCTCATCATCGCCAGCATCACCCTCCATTTCGACGTCTTCCCGCAGCCCGTCATCGTATGAATCCTCCTATTCATTCATCTGATCATCGTACCCATCCACCTCGAATACTCATCAACGTTATCGTCACCACCATCACCATGACCATGACCATGACCATCACCATCGACGTCATAACCATCATGATTGTCATCACCAGCGCAATCGTTACCATCATCGCCGTCACCATAAACGCCGTCATCGTCATCATCATCATCATCATCATCATCATCATCACCAGCAGCAGCAGCGTCCTCAGCATCGTCGTCGTTATCATATAGCCATCATCACAACCACCATAACAATCAACTACAGTATCACCATGGTCGTCTTCACCCGTGCCCCGCAGCTACGCTGGACCGCTCGGGTGGAGATCTTCGCCACGGCCTATCCGGGCCAGATTATGCTTCCCTGCGGCGGAAGCGCAGAAGCGGACTGCAGGCGGCCTCCCAGCTTCTCGATCCACTCGGGTTTTGCCTCCCGCACGGGGGGGGGCTCATCATCCCCCTGGAGGAGGAGGAGGAGGAGAAGCACATGAAGAAGAAGAAGATCACGCAGCGCAGCTGATGAGCAGTCAACTATCCAGCCAGACGAGAAACACGCACACGTGCCATGGGTGCACAAACACGCATGCACTAGAAAACTCGCGCTACTCACACCGAAGAGCAGGCCGGAGCGAGCCATCGAGGGTCCGAACGAGGTGGGCGAAAGAACGAGGTGAACCGAGAGCCCGAGGGGCACAACGAGGGGGGTAGGAGGCGACAAGAAGACGAACCGAGGAACAAAAACTGGCTGAAGAAAAACGCGCACCTATGCGCACAGGCCCGCTGCTCGCGACCGTACACTTAAGTTCTCTGCCTGGTGCAACGACTGCACTGCTGCGCTCTGGGGCGCGGCGCAGTGCGTGGCCACACATCGGTAAGCCTCACTCGCTTCTCTCCACTGCAGGCCCCCCCGCATCCTCGGCGCTTCGATGGACCAGTCGTCCAGGCATCGGGCCGGTACGCACACCGAGTGAGGGATGCCATCACGATCTCAGCACGTCGACCCACGCCGACAGCTCTTCCTCCATGTAGCCAACAGGCACCGACCCCACGGCGCAGGCGGGTCGCCCACCATTGCGGTCGCCCACGCCTCGAAGGTCTGCCCGTTGACCCACCCGACCTCTGCCTCGGCCAGCCTCTCCACAATTGTCGCAGCGGGGCAGGGGGGGGCCGAGCTCTGGTAATTTTCTGCCGCCTTATCAGCCTCCGCGTTGGCCTGGATATCAGCCGCCTTGTCCGTGCCCTTGGCCGTCCTGGCCCCCTCCTTCAGCTTCGTGATCTTGGCTCGGAGTTCCCGCGCGCCAGTCGCGAAGCCTTTGCTCTCCTCCATCATGCCCGTGACGACGGGGTTCTCGGTCTCGATGATGATGGCCCTCGCGAAGATACCCCCCGTCGCCCGGCTGCGCTTCGTGAGCTGCGACATCTGCACCCGGGGGGAGGAACTCTCGCAGGCCGCCGTCGTTCGTCATGAACCCCCCCTTCTTGTCCGAAACCCCCAGCCAGCGCCAACCCTGCCTGGTGCGAGGCCTATGGGCCCTTCCTTCCTCGCCAGCTGTTCCCCGAACGACCCCCCCACCAGGCGTCTTCTACTTCCTGCGATCCTCGACGGGCATGGAGCGGCCGCCGCTATTCGCTGACGGTGTTGGCGAGCCCGTCGCCTAATTCTTGGGGGCGCGAGCCAGCCACCCCACTGCGCGGTCATCTTTATCAGCGCGGCCTCGCCCCCCTTGAAGTCTGCGCAGCGCGTCCCCGCCGACAGACAGGCACAGGTCCGAGCGGGCCTCGCTGCCACGCGCCCTCGGCGCCGAGGGCGTGCCCACGATGGGACGCGGCCGCGGGTCACGCGGCGGGCGCGGTGAGCGAGGCCCCGCAACCGCCAGCAAGCCACCCTCATGCGTCGGAGGGGGGCGCGAGCAGGGGCGGATGCGGAATGACGAATATGATGAGCACGTGGTGTTACAGACCGCGCACGCGTACTCGCGCGGCTCCTTGAACGCGCACGGGTACGCCGCGTCGTTTCTGATGTAATTTCCAGCTATTCAATCCTGCGGGCGGCGCCGGTGGTTCTGAAGTGTTTTGGCGCATGCCTCGAACGCGGCCGTGAGCTTCGCCAAATCAGTACCACGCTGAACGCCGCCAAAGCCCATGCGACCTCTTGTTGGAACAAACAACGCTGGGCGACCATTGCCCCAAAAAGCTGTCACCGACCCATCCGCCATGGCGTTGTTCAGCAGTGTCCTCCTCTCCTTCAGCACCCGACACTTCACGAGGTCCATGTGCTCCATCTTGGGGTACCTCACCTCCTGCTGCGAGAAGTGCCTGAGCGCCGGCTGCCTGATCATCGTCATCAGGAGAGCGGCGTGGCCCGCGGTGGCCTCGCGCCTTTTCAAATGACGGTCTGTGCGTCTCCAACTGCTCCTGGGTGTGACTCATGGATCTACCCGCATCTGCACCCCTCCTCATCCCGGTCATGGCCCAAGAAATGAGGGGTCGCGCCTCCAATGCTACGCACGCATAGTCGAGCATGCTCTTCCCGCTGGCACCCTCGAACGCGCGGTCAGCTTGGCAGTAGGTGTTCACCGCCATGAGCCCCCACTGACTCCACCTGGTCGCGAACCGCCGCGCCGCTGGCGCCATCCGCCCCCGCGCCGAACGGCCCCGCCGCCGCCCAGCCTGGACGAGCGCACTGCCCTGAACTCAAGTCCGCGCAGACGATGGGCGTGCACCTCTGAAGGATCTTGAGATGCTCCGACTTGGCCACTGCAGCAGCTGGGCGCACGTGTCACAGTAGACGCGCGACCTCCCTTGCCCCCCGTGGGCGGGAAGCACGGCAGCACAACCGCCGCCACCGCGGACCCCGAGCCCCACCCACGGAGGGCATCAGGCGGAGCGACGATCCGCCTGACGTCCTTCTTGCCAAACAGACAGTCTGGTTGATCACCATGGCGCAGCCGCAGGCCTTCGTGACGAGCCTGCTGCGTGACCAACACAACTGCACGACACGGTGGCGCGCCGCAGTGGCAGCATGATGCCTTGCCAGCCCACTCTCGAACTCCGGCGCCTGGCAACGCCGGAACTCCAACATTACGAGGGACCGCACTCACCTCATCCAAGCGGTATGCCGACTTGAGGGCGCGCGGATTCCAGGTGCCGATGAAGCCCCACCTGTCCACAGCTGCAGCTCATTCTACTGCCGAGCGCCACGGCAGCAGCACGGAGAGCGCCCCGAGCAGCCTGCCCCCACAGCCTCCTGGGAGTGGCACGCGAGGCATCATGACCCCCGCCTGGCCACGGCTACCACCATCGCGCAGCAGCGCCCGTCGCGTCGACGCAACTGAAAGGGGAGGCCGCGAAGCATCAGTCCTCAATCCTGGAAATGATTCAAGGAGCATGGACCCACAAATTGCCAAATCTGGCGGGCCCCCCGCGCGCCCTCTGGACTTACCCGAGCGTTCCCGCATGACTGTTTCGGGGCCAACAGGGCCCCGAGCCGGGCCAAGAGGGCGCCAAGAGAACGCCCAGACGGCCCAAGGGCGCCCCGAATCGCCGCGCGATCGAGCCTCCCCAAGAGGGCCCCGAGAAGCCAACGTCCTTGATTTGTCGTAGATTGTTCAATATGCTTTAGGTTCTCCACTATTCAAGCTCCCGACGCTCCAATAGGTTCCGACGGGCCCCCAAGACCGCATCAAGACGGCCCCAGAGGCCCCCAAGAGGACCCCAAGACGGCGCAAGAGGGCCCCAAGACGACTCACAACGCACACAAGACGGCCCAAAGAGGGCCCCAAGACGGCCCCAAGAGGGGCCCAAGAGGGGGGCGACTCGAAAATCCTAGCCCTCCGCCCCAAGAGGCACCCAAAGGGCCCCACGAGGCCCCCAAGGCCCCCACGAGGCTCCAAGGCCCCAGGGCGCCCCAAAACAGCCCCCCAAGAGGCCTCAAAACAGCCTCCAGGAGGCCCCCGAGAAGTTCGAAAGGGGTTGGGAGGCCCAAACAGCAGCTTCGCCTTAGGCGAAGCCCAGCTCCAGCTCTGTTGTACCGTAGTAACGATAGTCCCAGCAGCGGGGGGCGAGCCATCTCAAGCAATGTTGGTATCGATGGCATATGGCACACCTCGCGCCGAGGTGTAGTCTGATCCGCTTTGAGCCAAGCAGCCGCGGATGCACACTCGATCCCACTCACATGCAACACCCATTTCACTTTAGAGTCGGGTGGGCAGGAAGACGAGGCGTGAATCCACCGCCTCTATACAGCAGGCACAGCAGCGACTATGTACAAAAGGGCAGCAAAAGGGCGGGGCCGTAAGGAAGATAGCCCCGCACGCAAGTTGAGTCGCCTGCACTATACTGTGCATACGAGTCTTTCTCAGGCGGCTACAGAACGGGATGTCTGGCCAGCCCAATAGCGAGCACGACGCTTGAAGTCATGTTTGAAGGTTGTGTACCTCTCATGACCTGTAGGAACATTTATCTGTCGATGCGCCCCTTGGTGTGACCGTCCGCGGTCATGTCGCGGGTGTCACACTACTGAACACTGTGCACGATTCCTCGCTCCATCATCTGTCGTATCCAGCTGATGTGTCCTAAAAGGGTACACTCAGTCGGCTTCTTCAAGTCTTGCTTGACAAGGACTTGAAAACATATGGCCAAAGTGACCACGATGCTCAGGCCACCCAACCCAAGCATGTCTTTCAACGGAGTGGGACTTAACGGGCCTGCGTGGAGCTCGTGCAGAATCACGATCGTGGGATAACAGTCCTCCAAGTTGTGGGCTGCTGCTAGTGTCTCTGCTGAATAGCTCGAGCGGACCTCCAAGCGGTGAGACTTGCAGTACGCATCGATCAAGTGAACGACGGGCTTACCGGATGGCGTGCTTCCACGCCGTAGCAGGTTTGCCCCGCGAATACCATAGCCTTTGATTTCGTCACCGGCATCTCCACTTGGCGCCGGCAACCTGAGTCGCTGTGCAGGTCAACCTCGCCCGTGGGGGCCATCGCCTGGTAGAGAGTCTCCAGAGGGGAGGCCTGCAGTTACCTCGTGATCGCTTTCAGTCGTCGCACTTGTATGTCTGTCGGTTCTTGGACACGTTGTAGAGAGACAACATGCACCATCAACCACACCTGGGTGATTAATGCCTATGCCAATGCGCCTCTACGGCTGGCGAACATGTCTGCAACCATCTCGGATGCTTGGGCGTCAGCGTCGGCGCCAGTAAGTTCAGGATGTTGTATCAGACGGAGATGCTTGATGTATTCGTTTTGGTCCAAAGTAACACTGCCGTCCTCATCCTTGGCATATATCACAGCACAATTGGTGCATGTGTGCTTGTTGAGTTTACACTTACCAACGGTGTCTTCTACGCACTTGACGCACTTGTCCATGGTGTCCTCTGCACCGCCCAGATCGATGTTATCAACATGTCTTGCCGTGAGCAGGTCACTGCTCGACTCGAACTCCTCGTCGTAGGACGTGGGTCTGAGACCAGAACCTCTGGTGGTCCTTCTGAGCTTCAGTGAGAAAGCTCGAGGTGCGTCCTTGGTGCCAGTGCCTGGCTTAAGGCACTGCAAGCAGTGCTTCGACTCGTCGTAGTGTTCGAATCCAAGGAGAGTTCGAAGCACGGTAGCCGATCCAGGCGGCAGAGTAAAGCACACCACACGTTCCTTTTCACCAGTTGCCTCAGCAAGTTCCTGGTAGGTCAACCCTTCCAGGAAGGCCATGTTGATGTCGAGGGAAGCAATGACCCATTGCTTCCTGCACGCTGCCGTTCTCACGAGTAGTCTCTGGCTTGACCGCCGTGCTGTTCCCGAAAAGGCTTCCACATCTAAGGCCTCGTGGTCCATGAAGCCTCGAAGCACCAGGCGTATCTGATGGTGCGTTCCATTTCGCCCTTCTCGTTCTTCACAAACTTCAATGTGTACACATACCTCGAAGACATGCTGTTTGACGCTTTAGATATACCTTGCATTTTGCAGCACTCGTTGCCAAACCATGTCTTGAGTTTAGTGCATAGGGCTTTCGATACTCTTTCGGGATTCGCCTGGATGTCAGCCTTCGCGAGGATGTCCTCCCCCTTAACGACCACAGCTCGCTTTGCAGCGGCGGCAACATATACTCGCATGGTGGGAACACGGTCGGCATCGAATATCCTGTGCTGTTGTTCGGATACGTCTCCTCGATGTCGGAGTCGCGTGGGTGCCCCCACTTAGGCAGGTGTCCCCGCTGTTCTTCAGCTACAGTGATCAGCACACTGTTGTCTGGAATCATATGTGTGGGTACTGTGAAAAGATCCTCTAGTGGAGCTGCCTCCAGTAGTTCCCTTTCATCCTGTAGTTCTGTATACCGCACTTCCATATGTGCACCTCGAGGTCAGCCTCCGATTCCTCATTTATCGTGGGAAGCCGTCCATCCTCCCGTGAAGGTTCGGCTTCTGGGGCTCCTCTTGCGGTTCCGTCCGGCGTCGGTACATCCACCACTTCCTCAAACTTTGTCATATCCTGGTCAAAGCCAGCATGAGGTTTGGACTTCAGGCACTGGATGATTCTCGAATGCGCAGATTCCAATAATATCGTGAATGTTAAGAGCGGCGCCTTCTGCATCATAAACATGCAATCCTGGATTCGCATCCTTGTCATAGTGGACCAATGTGCAGCTGTCAGCGTAAGCCACCGGAGGTAGCTTGTGGATACTCTTGGCTAATCTAACCGAACTACGTTCTCAATGCGGAAGAAGTTCCTGATAAGACATTTTAAAGCCAGATGTGTCTTAGGAGATAATCAGTTTGCACCTGTCATCTGAAGCATCCCCTTCTCGGTCGGGACGCAGCCACATGTCATAGCAGGTCCCCCCGCAGGAAAGCTGGCCACGAACGTCAACACTGTCCGTAGCGCAGTGTTGTCGGAGCCAATTTCTCTGGCTATCAAAGCTTCGATATAGAGTGAATGTCGTGCATCACCGCATTGTACCTGAACGTTGCGGTTTCCAACTCGAACGATGACTCGACCCCTCTCGGGATCGTTTCTTACGACCAGGAATGGGCCACTCCAGCCACCCCAGTCGTCCATCGTGGTTGTGGGGCGATGGTAATTAACTATTCTTTTCATCATAGTAATGCTGACCAGTGATAGTTGTCTTAGCGCGTTATGCACGATTGGTCTGGGCTACTGCAGTGGCCTGCGCGATAGCTTCAATGCATACCTTGCGCATCATCTGCTCACGAGAATGATCCGACGTTTCCGTCGGCTGTTCGCGATCCAGGACAGGCAAGTCAGGGAGCATTGCCGGTTGCCGTCCAAACAGGGCGTTGCCTAGAGACACCTCATGATAGAAGGTGAACGCGTTGGCGGCAAACAAGGCT